TGTTGGTGCTTGTTATACGCGTAGGGAGTTTGTTATGATTTTGTGCCTTTGCCTTTCTAATCTTGCCCCTGCATTCCTGTGTTGTTTGCCTATATTCATCCTTTGTAATCCGTTTTTTATATGACTCCTTTTTATTTTTTAGATCATGCAAGATCTCGTGGTTAAGCCAAGGTGGTCTTTTGCCACATTTTCTATCTTTCCTAACCAGTGGAATAGCTTGCTTTTGGGCCCCTAATAGTGGCAGTTTTTCAAAGGGACAACTCTCCTCAGTTGTTTTTCCCCTCAGTCTTGATTCCCATGGGACCTTACCTATCAACTCTCTGAGCTTACCAAAATCTGCCTTTCTGAAATCCATTGTCTCTATTTTGCTGTTCTCCCTTCTACCCTTCCTTAGAATTGCAAACTCTATGATTTCATGATCACTTTCACCCAGGCTGCCTTCTACTTTCAAATTCTCAACGAGTTCCTCCCTATATGTTAAAATCAAGTCTAGAAGAGCTTCCCCCCTAGTAGCTTTTTCAACCTTCTGAAATAAAAAGTTGTCTGCAATGCAGTCCAAGAAATTGTTGGATAGTCTGTGCCCCGCTGTGTTATTTTCCCAACATATATCCAGATAGTTGAAGTCCCCCATCACCACCAAATCTTGGGCTTTGGATGATTTTGTTAGTTAGCTTAAAAAAAAAAAATTGTTGATGGACTCTGATCTCGGTTTTGATCCTGGTGTGTCCCTGGACCTAGATTCTAGCACCACTCTTAGCCATTAGAAAATGTAGGGTTCCTTTAATCAGCCTCCGTCCCTGGACCTACTACACCATTATTGACTCGGACACCCATCAGTACTATAAGGGCCCTACCGCCAATCAAACCCCAACCACCACCCCTTGACTCCTTAAGCCCCACGCCTTGACCCGTAGTCCCTCCCGCCTGTCACTGGAAGTCTTGCCCCCTGGGGGTGTTACTTTTGGGGTCAAGGTGGCCACATGCCCAGAAGCAAGGTGTGCCATGTGACCCCTC